TCTGGAGGGCCGGAGTTTGGAGAAGCCTACATAAACTATTTAAGGTGTGTATCCTGTGACTTAATATCTAATGATTACAGCTGTGTACACAAAATGTCTTAAAAACATTATCTTAGTCATAATGACCCATCACAGAGCAATGTTTATTTGGCCTAACTGGCTATTTCCTTTGATTTACTTGGTGACAGAAAATATATGATTGGATTTGATCATTCTTTAAATGTCAGTGAATTTAGAAGTTCTAGTACAGGGAAATATATTGTGCTACCTGTAGTTTTTAAATGAACATTATAGTGTTAGGAACACAAACATTCCTTACGTTATAGTGTCCAGCTGTTATTCCGCCTCGCCTCCATGGCTGCAGTCATCAAGACTGACTCAGTTAAACAAGGCTGGAAATACTCATGCTTAGCATGAGGACTTTCATCATCTTTAAATCTAATATAGTAAAGCATTAATGCAATGTTTTCCTATGGGGAAAGCATAATGCGCATGTCCTTCGGCACTGATGTTGGAGGCAGTTCAAAGGTACTTAAATGATGGAATCAGGAAAGTAGTTAAAAGATTTTAAATCTTTTAACGGCCAGGAGTGGCGCAAGGGAGGGCGGGGAGGGGGCAGATTGACACTATAGTGTTATGAAAACAGCTTTGAATTCCTAAACTATAATGTTCCTTTAAAGCAGGGTGGGAAACCTTCGGCCCTCCTGGACTACATTTCCCATAATGTTCTCACAGCCATAATGCTTGCAAAGCATCAAGGGAGATGTAGTCCAAAACATCTGGAGGGCCAAAGTTCCCCACCCCTGCCTCTAACGGGGCTCCCCAGACTCCTAAAGCACTTCAGCTGGCTGAAGTGTTTTATATATGAAGAGTGTGTCCTTGTGTAAATAGTGTGCTCTCTTTTTTGTTTTGCAAAAAGTGCAGATTTCACAAACTTGCACTTTAATAACTTAAATGAACACTATAGGTACCCAGACCACTTCAGCTCACTGAAGTGGTCAGAGTGCATATTCCCAGGTCCACTAACCATGGAAAGGTAATTATTGTATTTTTTAATTAACTGCAATAATTACCTTTATGGGTTATCCCCACCTCTAGTGGCTGTCTTCCAGGGACTTCTGGGTCGTTAGGCGACTTTTGGCCACCTAACTGACATTGTATATCCTCACCTCACGCTATGCATATGCATATACAATGCTTTCCTATGGGTCTGTGTGTGGAGCAAAGGCAGATGCCAAGTCAGTGCCAAAGCCCCTTCTGCACCACAGGGAGGGAGGAGGGCACTATAGTTTCCCTTTATCTTCATTACACATACCTGACTCTGCATCAAACAACCAGTCCTGTTACTTCCTGGTTTGGTTAGCTCAGTGAAGCTAAACTCAAGAGGCAGCAATTGCCCAGATCACCTGCCTTGCAAAGACTTCTCATTGAGCTGCATGAGGAAGTCTGTGATTGGAGAATCACATAAAGTCTGGGCAGGGTTAGAAGGAGAGGGCTTGCAAAGACTTTAGACAAGAGATCTGCAACATTTGCAAGCTAGATTTAAATATCCCCCCCAAATGAATAAAGTCATAATTAAATGGATGCATGTTTTCATTTGGGATATACCTGCTAAACAGCGATTTAGTTATTTATTTTTTCTTTGTATTTGGACAGTGGAGTGTCCCTTTAATATTATAAATGTTAATATAGATGTTATTTTCTACTAATTTCTAGTAGGAGAAATTAATTAAGATTTCAATAAGAGGCCTCTGACCCAACAAATCAAGCACAATATCTTATCATATATATTACATATTATAACATCATTTTCTGCAACATATTATTAATATAAAACCATTTAGAAATAAATTATTTATTATTTAAGTATTCCAAATTACTTTACTAAAGAATGTATGCCATTGTCATTTTTGAAGAATAACTTCCTAGCAAATTATTCAGTTTGATCGTCTTTATTTGAAAAATGCTGTTCAAAACATATTTTAAACTTTTGTCTGACCTTGATATCAGTTCAAGCTTAAAAAAATGGTAGTCTGGAAAAAGCTTCTGTTTTCTGAGTCTGTCTGTTGTTCTTTTGCCTACTTCTGTGTCTCATGATGGAATTAACATTTCATCAGCTCACTAATTAGGGCAAATGAGACACTCAAATTTTACATTAGCATAAATACAAAACACATCTGTTCAAAACACAGTGACATCTGTTTGCTGTTCTGAGCTCTACAAAGTTGGACTGATAAATTGATCCAAGGGTTTACTTTGTCAAACATGATAAACCACACAAATATTTCTTTAAACAGGATGGTATGGATTCCCTAAGGATATGCTGTCCCTTTCAGTGCAGGTGCAGAAACCAGATACATGATGCATGTGATGATTGCTGTGTTGATGGATGATAGTAATCAGTCAATGTGGTACATTGGGTAAAGTGATCAATGGTTATAATGGGTCCTGTCAATCTAAGAGCCCCCATACATTATATCTCAAGCTTGTCAAAGACCGTGTAGGTCAAAATGTTGTGTCATATTGGGCTTCAATAAACTGCAGTTTCTGAACCTTGGAGTGCCTGAACCTCTTTATACTTTATGCATATTGTATTCGAGACCTGGTGCTGGGTCCTGGTTTGGTTGCACCTTGGCTCAGAGTGATGGGATTGAGTGGAGTTCCTCATTTGTGTTTTGTATGTGTCACTGTTACTGTGGATGTGTGTCAATCTGTGTGTATATCTCTTGAAGTGTACCTGTGTGTGTGTGTATATATATATATATATATATATATATATATATATGTGTGTATGTATGCTTCTGTGTATGGCAACTGGCCCCTGTATGTGTGTGGCAGTGCACATGTATTTGTGCATACACATATGTATGCAATCACCAAAAAACACACACATACTTCCTGCATTTAAACACCAACACTGTACACAAATCAGCCCTGCACTCAAATGCCACCAATACACACAACCCTGATATAAATACCAACACTACACACAAACAGATCCCCTGGATTAAAACATCATCATTATATACATATAAACAAACATTCACACACATATATTCCATACAAAAACATGCCTTCATTCACAGATAGAACCTTGCAAGGATGGGTGAATAGGAGATCCACAGGTGTCAAAGCATCATGGAATTTGTACAGTAGTTGAGGATCTACCTATTGTCTATCTGTGATACATATCACTGGGGGGTTAGCTTAAGATATATTTGCACTGGGGCATTAGGTTTCTAGTTACGCCCTTGGTTGGAAACATAGTTCGCAAGTTCAAAGTTGTAGTGGACGGGGCAGAAAAAATAAGCTATCAATGGCTGCAACCAGATTTCTGAAAAGGTAGGTTGTGCAAAACCCTTAAGTAACTGCAAAAGATCTGCAGCAAGATCTGGTGGCAACAGGCACCAAAGTTTCAGTGAGCACAGTAAGGCAGTAAACGCAGAAGGTTTCCATAGCTATTAACCTAAGTGCACCAGAAAGGTTGGCTCCAATATGCCTCATTATAAATAAGCCACAGACGTTTTTTGGATTTATTTATGTGTAACAATTAAATAAAACTGGAACTTTTAAGCCCAATGGATCAGTGGTATGTCTGAAGGAAGAAAAATGAAGCATATGCTGAAAAGAACATTGTCTACAGTTAATCATGGTGGCGGCTCGGTGATGCTCTGAGGCTACTTTGCCTCTGGCACTGGAAACCTGCAGCATGTGGAATACATGATGGATTTTTTGAAGTATAAGGAAATTCTAGGAGAACACATCATGCTGTCTGTGAGGAGGTGAAGATGAAGCTTGGTCGTTATTGGACCTTCCCACAAGACAATGATCCCAAGCATACCTTAAATTCCACCAAGGCTTGGTTGCAGAAAAAGTCCAGGAAAATTCGACAGTGGCAATCACATTTACCTGACTTAAACTCTATAGAAAATCTCTGGTGGGATTTGAAGAAGGCGGTTGCAGCACGCAAACCCAAGAATATCACTGAGCTGGAGGCCATTCCTCGTGAGGAATGGGCTAAGATTCCTCAGGAACGCTGCCAGAAGCCGGTGTCTGGCTCTGCATCTTGTTTGCAGCAAGTCATAACTGCAGATGGGTGCTCTTCTAAGTACCAAAAATGCTTGGCATGAAAGGATTGAATAATTTTGAGACTGGAAAAGTCATTATAAGTTGCATTTTCACTTGAATTTGGGGAAACCACTTGAAGCATTCATTGTGTTGAGCTATTTCAATTGCCTTTGTCTGATTTGTCAATTGCAAACAGCTGAAAGTCTGTACATTTTGACAATAAACCTGATTTTCAATGGAAGTTGAATAATTTAGATTACAACTGTATGTATATATTCCAACCTTGAAATAAAATATTACATACAAGTAACACATGTTGCATCTGTATATTATTATTATTTTTGGTATTTATATAGCATCAACTTATTCTGCAGTGCTTACTATATTTTAAAAAAATAAGTCAGGAAATCTTGATGGCATTGATCATCAGTGATTGGCACTGTTAGGGTATACTCCTGCTAATGTTCTTGCGGAGTTGGTTGTTCTGTGAGCACTGGAGGGTGGTTATCTGACATATTATCTGAGCATGAACAGCTGGGCAAAAGTAAGCCCATACATATCGTTATACAGTTGTGTTCAAAAGCTTGCATACCCTAGCAGAAATTGTGAAATTTTATTTTAAAAATATAACTGATCATGCAAAAAAAATTATTTTATTGAAG